CGGAGGCGGCTGGCGGGTGAGTGCTGCCCGGGTGCTCAGCCCGGCGGGGCGCTGAGGCTGAGCCCTAAGACCCGTCGGCCTCAGCGCTGCCTTCCCAACAAACCGATTTTCAGCTCTTAGACTTGGTTTAGGGTTTAGGCAGGCCTTGCTCGCGAAAACACTCCCTGTAGCAAAATAGTGGTTTCCTTATTTTACTAAAATTAAGATAGCCCCCCTATACCTCCCTCTTCCCTTTTTTTTTTTTTTTTAACCCGAAAGGATTTCAGAGAAAGAAGAGCAGATGTATTATAGTTGTTGTATCAGTGGGTATGTTGCATGCATGTTCATGTTGACTCTAGATATTCACAGCAAAAAGCAGGTATGGTGTGCAAGTGGCTTGTCGTGGATCTGTCCCTCCCTTCCAGTAAAATAAATGTGTGTAAGCTGATGACTTCTTACAGAAGCCCCCTGTCCCGAAGTTCCTGCAGATGTAAAGCTTGTCAGGTTGTGCCATGTGTTGATAACGTGCTTCTGTTGGGGTGTGGTGCTTCTTGGTTTGAGCTGGTGCTTCAGGTTGATAAGCCCATAATTTGCTCTCTGCTAGGTGCCAGTGTCTTGTGTCTGTGTTGTGCTCTTTGGGAGAACCAACAGAAATTTGCTTCGGAAAGGCTTCCCCCCCCCGCCCTTTGTATAAATGTTCTGTATTTTCAAATGACATAAATCGCAAGGGTTATCTCCCTCCCCCCTTACAATTTTACTCTCTTTTTAATGTTTGTCACTAACAGTGTACTAAATGCTGCAGAGAGAGTTTTCAGAAGGATCCTTTCTGCAAGTAAAGCTGAACAGCGCAAATTGGTCTTTAAGCTTGTTTCTATTTCGGACTACACATCATAAGGTTACTCCCTGGCCTATTCCTTCCCCTTCCTGACCTTTTTATCATTTTGCCCTCCTCCAGCAGACCTATGGGTTCGTCACTGCTGCAGTACTGTCCCTTACTGCTTTGGCAATCCCCAAGCCATCTTAGTATTGGTGATATGAAGGTGTATTCCTGCGTTGCTGAAGTCGGTAGGAAGCTTACCGGTATATCTGACTACACAGATACTAGTACCTACTCCCAGCTGCTTTCTGCTGCCTTGCTTTGTCCTTTGGGCCGTGAGCAGAGTTTAAGGCAGGAGGGGCAATACTGAGAACTTAAATAACTTATTTCCTGCATAGCTCTCTGAGTTCAGTAGGAAACAGTAAGCATCTCTACTATCCTCCCTTCCCAGAAAGGAGGACAGGATCATATTGAGGCAAGAAGAGAATCCAGGTCATAGAATTTTTGAAGGGGGAATAGAAGTTTGTGCAGTGACTTGTAGGAAACAAAAAACCTGTTGTATCCCAACTAATAACTGGCTGGTTTTGGCGACAAACACTGAATAAGCATGTTTAAAAAAATAGAATGATGGAAGAGAGCATAGTCCAGAAGTGTAATTGCTTTATTCTTCCCTGCCTGCTTTCCATAAACACATATCTGCAAGTGTGCAGTCAATGCAGTTGTGGAATAGAGTGATCATTTTGCTATCCTTGTTAAAAAGAAGAAAAGATGTGATTGGGGTATTTGAACAAGTCGTTAAATGTGATGATCAGTAGGTGGGCTCTTTAACTGGAAAGGATTTGAAATCTAATGATTATGTGCAGCTGATGATGCTTTTTTCCATCTTGGTTGTACGTTAATGAAGTAAAACAGACAAGCGTTGTATTTTCATGATCCTCCCAAACTGGTTAATAATTTACCATGAAAACGTCTTGGAGGAACCAAAAGAAAATGAAACCTTCATCCATACAGCGTAATCTGTTCTTTTATAACTAGATCTAATTAGCTACATGGTCACTGGCCGGCCGTAGGTGCCTAGGGAAGAGTATAAGAACAGAGCAAGCACAGAGTAATTTTTTTTTATTATTATTATTTCTCCCTCCCCCCTGCAAGTATATTGTCTGGGTCTCCAGTGTTTTGGGACCTCCTGAGCCAGAGGTGGTATTGTTGTCCTAGTAAGTGTATGTGCCATAGCTGCTTAAACAATGCCTTGAGATAAAATTGAAGGATATGATAGCCATTTGTGGGCTTCCAAGCTTGCATAAAGAATTGTAGTTATCATGCGTTGGTTGCTAAACTGCACTGGCCCTGGAGTAGCCACTTACCAGAGTGCCTATCTTCCCCTTGCATATGTGCAAGAATATCTAGTGCTAGCACCTTTAATTCTTGTTTTTTATATCAACAGCAGGATCTGAAGCAACATTGTAGCTGCCTTGTTGCTGACTGAAGAATGAGTATTTTCTTATAGTGATATGCAGTCTTCCTTCCAGTAACATTGAGAGGAGATCTTTATCAGCTTAGTTTTGCAATCTCCATTCCTTTTAAATGTGACCTGAAGAAATGGAATATACAAAGTACCACCCTCAACATCAGTGAATTCTGAATTCTCTGTTAGCCTTGTTGAGGGCATTCATCATTCCCAGTGGTCATGACACTTCGTTAGTTGATGTCATCTATAAATCACCAATTTGAGTATGGTATCTTCTGTCTTCAGGCAGTTCAGGATTATCGTTTATACTAAGGACTTGATTCAAAGTCTAGGTGAGTCCGGAGAACTTTCTTCCAGAGTCTGCAGTGACCTTTGGATCAGATCTCGGGCATACTGAAGAGAGAGGGCCTCTCTTATTTGACTCCCCGTGCTTCTTTGGCAACTTCTTTTTTGTCTGAATACCCTCCTACCCGGTTCAGCTTACGTGTCCTTTCTCTGATCTTACACCTTTGCTATTTAATTCCTCCATTTTACTGCTTCTCAAGAAATTCTGGGATCAAATTGTTGAAACAGCATGCTTCATTTCTCACAAAGATAACACTGATTCTTTTGCCTTTCTCACTACTCTTTGCATCATAAGTGTATTGATGGCTTTGCTGTGAAAGAAATAAACGCTAATGCTGTTTGCATCTTGTGCACGAGTATTTGAACATGGTTTTTGGTTCAAATTAGCGTGATCTTAATAACTTAGGAAAACCTCTGTAATCTGCATAATAACAGTGAATGCCCATGTTTTTTGTTATTGCTGGTATTCTACAAAACAAGTGAATAAATGAATACATTTCTTTTTGGGCTTCTAATAAATACAGTATATTTGATTTATTCAGGTAGTGTCCCATCTCTAGCTGCTGGCCTTCTCTTTGGGAGTTTTGCTGGACTGGGTGCCTATCAGCTCTCACAGAATCCAAATAATGTATGGATTTCTCTGAGTAAGTCTTTTAGAATTTTATTTATGAGGGATTATATTTGCTCTAAAATAACTCAATGCTTAAAATGAGTACATACAGGTACAGAAGTCACTGCACAAGAGTTAATCTGATGGTGTTATAAATTTAGTTCAAATCAGAACTTTAAACTTGTATTAAGTGAAAATCTCGGTTAGTGGTCAAACTCCACTGCTTCCCCTGGAACAGGAACTGTTAACATCACTTAGCTTTTTTTTTTTTTTTTAAAGAATGTTTTGAAACTGTTTGTTTGTGTTTTTGCTCAGTGATTTCTCACTGTGTTCCTGCTTTCCTGCATCCCTTTTGCAAGAAGCATAAAATGCTTTGGATGATAGTTTGAGCTTGCATTGTTGTTCCTCTTCTGCAACGTGAGGGGAGAATATCTGTTACACAACAGGAGAGTTTGGTCTTCTGAACGCTGAAAAACTTACTGGTTGTGAAGGAAACTGTTTCAATTTCTTTTACCATATGAGTTTCAGTTTATCCTAGCACAAACACCATTATTTCACTTTCTTTATCTAAAAATAACATATGCATTTTGTGTTTAAAAATTTGTAGGTAGTATGGCATGCATCTCCAAAAGTCTTTTTTTGTCTTTCTGTCATTTACCACACAACATTCAGGGCACAATCAAGTTGAGACAGCTTAGCATATGATCATCTGTTGCTTTAACCTGTGCATGCCTAAAGCCCATGCCACTTGCAAAATAACGTGACTTGAACTTAAGTCTCATACCCTAAGGAGTTAGGGTAAGTGGCAATTGAAGTAGGCTGAGAATATACGCATAGATGGTTCCTGCAGCTCTTGATGTCTGCCATTTGTTAGACTGCTTTAACTTTGATACTTGCAAGCACGCATTTCGTTTGTATGATCCTTTGGCCACAATTTGTGTCTTCGTTGTGTCCTCTCCGTTCTTGATTTGTAGAAGACATGGTTCCCGCATTGCAACGCGGGTTTCTAGTACTAGCCGTGTTTTAGTTGTTTTAGTCCCTGGACTTGGCCAAACTGGTGGCTGTCGCCATGCACCTGTCTCATACTGGTGTGTTTGAAGTATCATACTGCAAGGGAAGTGACAGTAAACTAACATGTGCCATAACTTCTTTTTTTGGCTGGATCCAATTTCCAGCAACCTGCAGGAGGCTGGAATGTTTCAGGAAGAGTGATTCCCTTGCAGACCATTGGTACCCCTAGCAGGTTATTTTATCATTGCTGAAAATGGCAGAGGTCGTGACTGACGTTTTCAGTGTGACAAGTGTGTGGAGTTACAAAGGTGTTGCACGCTTGGAGAGAATTAGCAGAAGCAAGCTTCAGTGATGTGTTTTCTTCTTCCCAGAACTGAAGCTTCCCTCCTTCTGGGCTTTCAGAAGCTATCTGCTGGGAATCGCTGCTTAGCCAATGCTTAAAAAGACAGGGGAATGAGCTGCCACTGACTGTAGCATTTTTTCACTGAAGCTGTGATATAGCACCCTAACTCCAACACGAAAGTCGAAAATGAAGGAGAAAGGACCAGCTTTTCTCTCCACTTCTGGAATTTCCTGCAGTGCAGTCCTCTTTCACGTCTACATTTACTGGATAGGGCAAAAGCTGTGCACACTCGCTTACTGTGTGTCTCAGTAAACTGGAACTGTCAATACAGTGAGCTTAGTGAGATTGAGACAAATTATTTTCCCAAATGTGAGTGACAGTCCGATACACTTTTGTAATACAGTCACGTATGGAGTCTTTTTTTCTCCTTTTTTCATTCTTTAAAATTTCGGAGAAGGTGTGTCCTACTACTGTTTTAGAGAAAATTAGATTTATGAGAGGTGTGTAGTTTGGATATGGGCTCTTGATTAGAGCTTGGGACATTTGAATACTTGTGGAATATTTTAGTTCTCTTGTGTGCTAGATTGCGGTCCCAGTCTTGTATATGTCTGCTTGCATGAGATTGTTAGATGCCAGTGACAATATTTAAGTGATGTTAAGGAGGAAGGATTCCTTCGCTAGGACTGAAGACGGGCTGGGTCCTGTAGGAATGTAACAGTCTTCCATCTTGTAGGAAGCAATAATAGGGGATGCTTGTTGTTCTAACCACCCTTTCAAGTCTTGCTGTTGTCACTGGATAGCAGCTACATGGTAAGGCTAAGGATTTCATCAGTATATTTTCTGTATAGTTTTTGCAGTAATAGGTCTTTCGTTGAGATACGGTGTTCCAGGGAGTGCCCTTTCTGTTTTATGGGCTTACTGACGCTACTTGGCTCCTGTTTCGATGTCAAGTGGTCAAGATGGATGTCACTCTCTCATCCCAGAGAGTAGAAGGTAGTGCAGGGCTGAACTGCATTGGTAATGCTTAGCACTTACACAGTACAACACTTTTTCAAAGTCTCTTGCAAATATAAATTAGTTAATTCTCAGAGCATTACAGATTGGGCAAGAATATGCTATCTCTCTCTTACAAGAAGTGGGGGAATTACATGCACAGGTTTAGTGATTTTTTGCTAGTGCGCTAGGAAGGAGTTGGTTCCAGAGCAATGTAGTGTAAGTTATTTCCAGTCTCTGAAGAAGTATGTTTTACCGAAGAAACTTAGAGAGGACAGGAGTATTCAGTGTATTGTCTGCTAGAACTCTATTTCAGATATTTGTTCTTTACGTACTAAGGCATTCAGAAGTTTACACAATTTAGTGACTCTTTTTGTCCATCACGTTAATCCTGCTTCACTCTTTAATTTATACTACTACTTATCTCTGTTCCGTTAGCTCTGAACGAGCATCTCTCTCACATGTGTGTCTCTGCTGACTGGACTCTTTAATTTCTCATTTAAGTTACATCTGGAACATTGACTGCCATCATGGGAACAAGATTTTACAACTCTGGAAAATTCATGCCTGCAGGGTTAATTGCTGGTGTCAGGTACAACTCAATAGACCCTTTTTTTTAACCACCCCATAGTGAGATTTCTTTTCCTGTTTAATTAATTGTGTTCAAATAAATTATGTCTTTTTATGTTTTCTATGCATCAATTACATAGGAAGTATTTGATAATGGATTGACAAATTTTTATTACTGTTTAATTTTGTGAACTTGTAATTTGTTTTTTCCCATAAACAGTTTGCTAATGGTTGGAAAATTAGCACTGAAGATGATGGAAAAACCGCACGACAAGTAATTTTCTAGTTTAATATCTGAATAAGGACACCTGAGAATGAAGATGCAGGACTGCAGAAGCAAAAAGGATGGAACAGTTTTCTGTATCAAGACAGCTTCCCCCTCCCCCTGCAAGATGCCGTTTGTTTCAATGATCAAGTAGAGCTATTGCTATGTGGTGAGATACTGGTCCTGGTTTCCAAACATATCTCAGTGTATTTTTAACTCTTCCAGTTTTTATATTCCAAAATAAACTGATGACGTGTATGAAGCAGGGAGGACTAACAATTATGAAAGCATCCACAAAGAGTCACCAGGAGTAGCTGGTCAAATACAACGCTGTGGTATCTCCTACCTTTCCTACTGAGTGTTACAGCATGCTCTACCTGCTTGCATTCCAAGTTGTAAGACCACGTTGTGTATAACACGAAACAGATCTTACCTTTTTATTCTGGAATGATGTTTAAAAGAGAATGGCTTTTCTATAAGTAAAATCTGTTACAAAACTTTATTGGCCTTTTTTTGTGCCGTTTGTCTGTGTGTGGGGGCAGGCTATTGTTTTACCTTCTTGTTTTCTTCTCGGTGGAATTCTTTACGGTGGGCTGTTGCGTAAGTGCAGTCTTTTGATGATATTTAAAAAGCACTTTTTAAACGGAGGAGCAGATGACTAAATTAGGGGCCTTCAGTAACGCTGCATTGAAGTCCCCTTTAGAAAGGAACTTATGCTTGGATTAACTGAGCAAGATGTGTTAGGCTAAGTAAACGTAAGTTAAACGTGATCAGTCCAAAGGACTGTATAGTCAGAATTGAATAGAGTGACATTAACATCATAAAGTCCTTATCTTACAGGTTTAGTTGACTGTAGAATGTATGAGCATTTATTATTATTTTCTTTTTTAATCATATAGGGGGGTGGTTGTGCCTCTCAGATCTGCTTTTACTAGGAAATCTTGGAGTCAGCAGAATTCCCGGTGCTGCTGTGGTGCACAAGGACTCACGTGTAGAAAAGGGATCAGCGGCACCTGTCATCTGGCCCTCTAACCTTACATCGTTTCTCCTGCGCTCTGTCTCCCACCTCTGTTGGCACAGGCACAACTAGTAGAGTCTTAGCATTGCAGAGAAAAAGAGAAGCAAGAAATATGTAAAATAAATTCCTTTATCAGCATAACTTTTAAATATTCTTTAGAGATTTACTAGAGTTCTCACAGTAGAATACACTTAGAGTTATAAACAGTCACTACATAAAGTATCACTTTTTATAATTTTATTTTGGGATGTGTGCACCACTCATTATATCAAACCTTTGTTAATTGCATAACTTACAATTACGGCAAATTAGGTTTAAAACAACTTACGTTTTATGCACAGTAATCAAATTCTTATGAAATACTTAAAGGAATTGTTGACAATTCTCTCTGAAACTACAAAAAGCTAGCTTTGAACTACATAATTGCTCCATTTGATTGGTCACTTCAAAGCTTATATTTCCTACTTGGAAGATGCTGCTTAAGAGTATTGAGCCAGAGTGCTTTTTCCATTGTCTTGGATTGATGAGAAACCCTAGCAGCAGATTCCAATTTGTCTTAGGAGAAAGAAATAATCACAGGCGGATTTGTAAATGCTGGGCCAGTTCTGATGTCCATGTTACTAATGTTCTTTGCAATCTTAACAAAAGCTATACAACTTATTCCAGGTTTTTGAACATACTTCATAGCGTGACCTCTCTTGTTTCTGGGCATTTATCCATAGATAACCTGTTGTGTACAGGAGAGGTCTGTTGAGAGTACCATTAAAAACATGCAAAAATATGCCCGAAATTCTAGTTCGAGTCGAATCGTAGTCTCTTGCGGCTATGCTCTAGGTAAAATCTAATGGAAGTTTTGTAACGACCTTTATGTGTGTTTAGATCACCCTATGTAATTGAATAGAATATTCTGTCTCTGCTGTAGCATTCTCTAGAGATTAATATCCTTTCTACAGATTTCCTATGCTTTTAGGGTGATTTTTAGACAGTCCTACGAGTTTTCTTTCCTGTTTTCTTCTGAAGGTTGTTTTTTTCCACTGAGATTGGTCCCTGTGTAAATTGAGGTTATTACATTTGCAGTGAATTCACTGTGACCATGTCATGGCTTCAGTGAAACTTTACACTGTGAGTCAAAATAGATATGGGTATAACGCTTTGCAAGAGTGATTTCTTTTCTTTTCTCTTTTAGGAAATTAATTGTTAAAGTAATTCTCAAATTAAGGCTAATCTATTCAAAGCGCACTCTGAAAGTAAAAGCAAGTTAGTTTAACGTTACTAATAATATCGGCAACCAGTGTGAGCTGAAATGAATACTGTTTTTTTTTTTTTTTTTAAAGATATGCAACACCAGGAAGCTAGTCTTATAATAAACAGACTGGATTACTGGCATTCAACAGATTGGAGTTTAGTCGTGCCTCCAGAATTCAAATACGTTACTGTAATGATGGAATAAGGAAGTTTTGGGGTAGCAGATCCTTGTCTTTGTTCCTCAGAGTGGAAACCAGACCCTCTATTCGCTGTATTGTTTTAACATATAGCGTGCCTGGTGGAAGCTTGGTGGTGATGGGAAATGTTAAGTACTTCATACCTCTCTTGAGCTAAGATGGCTGCCTCTAGATTACAGGAAGAAATGTCCTGTTCAGTGTGGTGCATGAATAGTCTCTCAGAAGCAGGAGTTTGCCCCTACACCTTATAAGGGTGATGTAAAAGGGTACTTGTTTTTAATATAATAGCAGGTGGTTACCACAAGGCCTGGAACATCAGGAACCTTGGGGTCCATTCAGTTCCCAGTTCAAATTCCCTTCCCAGGAGAGGCCCCTCCCCATGCCTCAGGCCGCGGGATATCCCACGTGGGGAATATTGCTTGGGGAAGCCATGCTGCAGTGCGGCAGAGAGTGCAAAGTTCTGGGGACCCATGAGAGAGGGAGCAACAAAAGCACTTCTAGCGTCCTCTTAGCTAAGTAGTAACTGGCAAAAATACAGAAACAGTCCTAAAATTGATAAGTGGAATCCAGGTCACCCTTTTCCCAGGTGGCGGAGCCACGAGACAACCTGAATTACGTGTTTCCTTTTGGCAAACCTTAGGTTCTTTCCCTTTCAGGATGTTATTTACAGCCTTTCAATTATTCTTCAAAGTCTTCTAGTGGTGCATTTTTCTTCCCATTGATTAGACCCAAGCTTTTAGGTAGGTTCCTATTTCGGAGACCTTTCTGGCTGAGGTGTGAGAGGGGTACTGAGTAGCTCACACTGGGGTAGCAGTGGGCACATACAAGGTGGGAATGTTACATGCTACTCGGGAGAGGCGAGCACAGATTTTTTTGGAGGTTTTTTTTAGGCTGCTTCGATGGTACCTTAGCCTTTATGGGTATGGCACAGAGCCATCTAATACAGCAATAATATACTGAGGTGCAATTGCAGCAGTGACTTGAGGGGAGAAAAAGCAGTCTTTTTACTCATCTCTCAATAGATGTCACACCCTAAGCTGCTCTTTCAATTAACATGACTCACAGCTAGCAAAATCCCTTTAATTTAATACAAATATGTGATGTTGTAATAGCGTAAGAATACAAGTGATGTTACACTAGTATTACAGGCAAAAAAAATCTTTAGAAAACTAGCAAAGGAGAAGAGTGAGAGGAAGAGGGAAAAAAGTTCGAACTGAAACGGTTTAGAAAGGAAATAGTCATGGGCTGTCCTACTTCTCCCTTGTTCTAAGAATATAGCACATGACTCTGTTTTTAATGCAAAGCGTATCCCCTAGCTCTCATTCTGCTGCAGGCTTCGAAAGTGCAATTTGCCATGTCCCAGTTCTGTCACTCACTGTGCTGGGAGCTGTTAGCACCCTGTCATCCCCGGCTGAGGGTCAGTCGCTGCTGAAACTAATATGGCCTGAAGGATTAAGCAATTATCGTTTGGTAGTGTTAGAATTCCTAGCTTCTTGGCATTATATTCATGCTTTCTGGCTGAACAATTTAATTACCTGGAAATATAGGAGGGGAAAAAGGGGGCAGGAGAACCTCCAGGCTGTTGCTACAGAAGGGGGAAAGTCCTTGTTGCTCCAGAATCCCTACAATAAAAATTGCAAAATATTGCTTCAATAATGGCACTGAGACGTCTGGACATCTCATCTTCTCTCCTTCTTCCTTGAAATGCCATGCTGGGGCAGGTCAAAATGTCCGTGCTTTGATGCCATATCCCCAGCTCAATCCAGTGTCACTGGATGTTCTTTTTATCCTTCCTGTGCCTCTCTTCTGAACCTGTGAAATGGAGATAATGTTTTCTTTATCATCTACTGCATACACCGCTTGCCTGTCTCCTACATTCCTGTCTTTTACTGGGTGCTTATATAGGACATTGTATAGTGTGTTCCCTGCCACAGAAGCAAGAACTGGCAGATCTGATACTATTTTATTGCTGGTAGTTAACATAGTCTGTCCTTGTTTTAATTCTATGCTATTTTTAGAAATAAATATTAATGTCTGTAGAGAAACATCATGGTGGGACAAACGTGTACTTTCCTGGAATCAATGGTATGATTTGGCCACTAGTTGAGAGAGTAATGGACTATATTATGGAGGTGAGCTCAGGCGGACTGTCATAGTTGGGATGTGAGCGGCTTATTTTGTGATTATAGATGCGTCACTTGATCTTTCTGGACATTGCATTATCCCACCTGCACTCACCTGAAGGGGGTCCTGCTTCCTTTTTATCGTTTCGTTAACGTTAGTACTTGCCTGGTATTTTGAGATCCTCTCCAGAAAGTACTGTTAACTAAGCTGAACTGGGTTTTAATACCATAACATGCTATTATTTAGTTTTCAAAGATGAAGAAAGGATTCAGGATTTCAGAAGTGAGATTAAAAGGGGCATGGTCCCTTCCATTAGTGGGTTTCCTCCTGTCGCATCCTCCCCCTCATCACACCCCCAGGGGTGGGGGTTGTATGGGGACAACTGTATCTAAGGTCAGTGGTGCTACAGGGACAGCTGGACTGACGTGGGCTGTAGAAACTACACCGAGTGAGACATCAGGCAAGGGAAGGAGGGCTGGGAGTAGGTACTGGGTATCTCCAAAAGAGGCTGTTTTCTCAGCTTTTTTCTAATCTCATGAGCTGCTGTGGAGACAGGACAGAAGCCTTCAGAGTAATTCCTATAGGGACCATAATGTTGTGGAAATGTTTAGTAAGTACTCCAGCCAAAAGGAAGGTGATTGAATGGAGATATCACGTCTGTTACCCTAAAAACACAGTTGGGAATGAGGAACAGAACTTTCTAATTTTAGTACTTTTTTAATCATCAAAATGCACAATCCCCCATAGCTCTGTTCCAAATTGTTACAGTTTGTACCAAAGCTATGCGAAGATCAACCTCACGAGGCAAAGGAAAGTTTAACAGCGATTGCTGAAAGCAGAGGTTCCCGATTTCCTTGTTAGATGGAGTTTCTGCCACGCTTCTCGAGGGGCTGGGGAGAGCCCAGCTCTGCCTCTCTC